CTCCTCTCATGGACACCTTTGGGTACCAGATTGTGGTCTGTGTATATATACAATGAGCTGTTCCTGGGTGCAGATTCTGGGATGATGCAGATAAATCGGGGGAAAAAAAATAAAAGGAAAAAAAGAAAAACAAACAAAACAAAGCAAAAAACACCACTGCTACCAACAACAACAAAAAAAGAAAAAACATCAGCCATACCAACAGAATATAAAGAAGAGCGATTCTAAAGTAAATAAATTTTAAACCCTAATCAGTGCCCCTCAACAAACACAATCTTTTTTGTTGTTTGAACAAAGATGTACCAAGCATTTAATGGAGATCATTTTAGGCTCACTTAATCTCATTATTCCAAAATCTATAGCTCTTCTACAGATCAGAAAATCTGAAGGACAGTAATAGCTTTCATCATGTTCAGAATATCTTTAAATTTTTCTAGGAATATATCCTGGAACACAGTTTCAGCTTTAGATTTAATGTTTTAAATGGTTAGTTTTATCACGTAACCAACACCAAAGAGTGGAATAACCACTCTGGAATTTAAGCTCTGAATTTACGTTCATCCCTTGATTTCCTATTTTTGAGAAGAAAGCTTCTAATCTTTTCTCAGGCTTAAACAGAAAATGTTTCAATTGTTCCAGGATTATTTTTAGTTTCTTTTCTTAGACTTGAAAGAGGATCTTTCATCCTCAAAATGGGCTCACTTCAGAAAACTCAGTGAACATTTCCTATCATTCATAGAAGACATATTTGGAAAGAGCAACTCTCAGTGATTCACCCTTAGATTTTCCCCTTTCTGAGTTTTAATGTTTTTGCATAGAGCAGGTCTTTAAAATCAAAGTTAAAAACAGAAGCATGGGCTTGTGCACAGAAGTGCACCCACGAATGGGTACAGTTTCCCAACAAAGCCAGTGACTAGACTTCACACAAGACTGCATATAAAGGTCTACTGTCAATGTGAAACTGTCTTTGAGATCACCTCACCATCTTTTTTTAGACTCAGGAAGTCACCTCATTAATTTATCTTTTTGCCCATGAGAATAAAACCTTTTAAAGTGCTTTAGAGTTCTTTGTCTCCTCTTTATCTCTGTTTTTTCCCCCATGTCTGATTTCTACTGATAGAGTAGAAGTCTCATCCCATACTGTGAAATGTGTTTTCCTTTCATAAGAAAACTTTTCAAAGCAGATTAAGAATAAGCATAAGTCTTTGTACATATAAATAGTAGTCTTAGAAAGTCAGGAAAATAACTGCTTCCTTTGTTCACATGGATAGAATAAGAACTAATTGGATTAAAAAAAAAAAAAAGTTTAAAAATTTCTTTACTTCTTTTCAGAAAGAGTGGTGAGGTATTAGAACAGATTGCATAGGGTAGTGATAGAGTCATCAGCCCTGGAATGACATGATATAGAGTGGTCACAAGCATGGACTGATGGTCAGACTAGATGATCTTTGTGGTCTTTCCAACCTTAATGATTCTGTGCTTCCATGATTCCATGAAAATAATGTCAGAGATTAGTAAAAATTTAAGGAGTAATTAAGCACAGTTGCCTGAGGAGTCTATGGGATTTTTCTCTTTGAAAGATTTTAATTAGATACATCCAAAAATGGAACAAGCATGAATTAGGCAGACTGATCCTGATTTGCAGAATGACATTCAGGCCAGTGCCATTTTATATGGCACAATTCTGTACAACACTTTTGGCTGTAAAAACTACCTTTTCTAGATTGTCAACATCAGTCTTACATCAGATTCTTCCAGAAGTAAATAATTTAATTGGACAGATGATTGCAATGCAGTATGTGATTAGTTATTTCATGAGAAGAAGGACAGATTTGTTTCCAACGCCAACCAATAATTTTTGTTTCCTACTGAGCAAGAATGCCTACTGAGCCACATTGAAGTACTGTCTCTTTACGGCACATAACAAATGACTAAAAGAAATTGGGTCATTGGAGTGTGAAAGGCAACATAGGTGTGTAGTAAAATAGAGGCTCTATTTTGAGATGCTCACTATCTCAAGCAGCCACAAAAGAAAAAGTCACAGAGGAAGTCCAAAGACATAGAAATGCAATGACATATGAAATCAGATGATCTTTGAGATCCTTTTCAACCCAGACCATTCTAGGATTCTATGATTCTATGACTAAAATTTTTATCTGAACTTCTGTTTTACTAACAGCACTGCATTGCATGCACACGGCTTTCTTTACTGAGACATTACCTTTGACTTAGATTTTTGACCCTCAGATTTGTTGAAAATTTACGAATCCACTGGATGAACTTCACTCCATCCTGGCTTGTTGTCACTTTCTGCCATTCATTTGCTAGTAGCCATTTCCAGAAGCCATACATTGGTTTGGTGGACCTATGATCTGATCTCATACAGCTGTGTTTATTTTCTGATGTTAGATTTTCAGGTGTATAGGACCTGTATTTCTTCTCAGAGACATATGCATCTCTTACTGACATAAATAGAAGATGTGCTCACTTGCCCATGGACTCACAAGGAAATTCTCTGATTACTGCCTGACAACATCACATACGAATTTGAACATATATGCAAACAAATCATCTCGGGGAATATACAGCATTTCTGCAAGGGCAAAATGAAGTCCTTGTTCCAAACATTCCTTGGGCTTCCCTCTGTCCAAATTAGAGCTTGCTTACATCTGTTTCTGTAACTGTGAAATTGGACTGTAAGAAATGAATTTAAAACAGTGAGAAGAAAATAAGGTAGACTAATTTATTTTCAGTGCAAATATTTGCATCATCTCTCTCTACAGTCCTCAAGCCCTAACTTACGGAGTTCTTATTTTAGCCTTCTGTTGTTCATATTAGAGAAAGAAAAGGATTCTCCAAACATCTTTGACCAGCAACTCTACTGCTTCCATCTGCTGCAGGACATAGCTGGAGACTGCTATTGCTCAATCTGAGGGCCACTGAGTCACAAGGATGCCAAGTAAAGGGAATCCACAGAGCTTCTTTTCCAAACTAAGTCATTCTCTAGTCTTCAGTAGCTCTGGCTAAGGATACTTTGGATATAGGAGGTAAAACAGCTTTTCACTTCCTCAGTCTTTTATTGCAGCTCTAGAAAACAAACCTTTGTTTTAATTTGAGTGACAAGGAAGGATCTGAATTAATGTTGCTAATTAGAGGGCATTTAATTAATAGCTATAATATGATTGTTTCTTGGGCTACAATCCGATGCCTGAAGAAGAAAACTCAGATAAATGAATGGGTAGCAGGCAGCTGTGTCAGAGGCAACAGAATTCAGGTGAGGCTATTGCAGGCTCCTCAAAAATCCCTCAAAGGGATTGCATGATTGTACACTGAAAATATTTTCTCACCTGCTTATTTTATCCCCATGGAAGAAATCTGAACACTTATACTATGTTTAGCTTCCACATTCTTGTCAAAGACACAGTGCAAGGTATTCTAGATGGAAGAGTTCTGGCAGATTTATTTTTCCCTGAAGCAGTGGAAATAGCCAAAAATGAATTTAGAGCATATTTAAGGTCTGCAAAATTTCATTCCCTCATTTATTTTACAATATCTTCTCAATTTCTCAAGTTCGGATTTGTACAAACACAGAAAAAGGCATGTTAACTACTGCATTCACCCACAGCACTAGTCTCATCTAAATCTGTCCTTTCCTGGTTTATCCTCTTCCGTTTCTCCTTGTTGTGTTTCTACCTGCTCTTACATAACATCCTGTCTATGACAAGTTTTCTTGTAAGTTGACAGCTTAAATGTCCACATTACAAATAATGGAATTAAGAAGGTCCGATTTTTCTTCATTAACTACAGATGTGATTAGTCCAAATGAATATGTCTAAACTGTAGACATAAAAATATACTTGGGTGAATCTCACCCTGAGAACAGATGTTTCTTTGGATGTCAGGCCAAAAAGGAAAGAAAAGGGAACAAGATTTCCATGGAAGAGACTTCAGAGAAAGTGCATTTGCAAGGGAAAGCAGCCATAGTGCCATAGGACAGAGAAATAAGTAAGAAATGCATCTCAATTTGGCAAAAAAAATAAAAAATAATAAAAAAAAATCCAATGCTTGTGCCAAGGAGAAAATATAGAGGTAGTAGTCTTAACACTCCAGCTTTCAAGCCTGTTGAGGAAAGCTGCACTCCTTACGTGCTGCCCTGAGGATCTCATCAGGATATCTTGTTTCACAGATACTGTTTTATTCCTGTTCCTGTTCTGTGTTCATACTTGGAACAGCGTCAGACCATCCTTGTAATAATGCACCTGAAGAGCAGCAGGCAACTTTAGCTAGCTCCTGGTATGCTTCACTTTGTGGTCAAAATACCATTTTTCTTACCTCATTTGAGGTCCAATTGTTTATTCAGAATATGTGGTAATTTTGTGGTAAGGTCCCACAAGGTGGACATTAAGATCTTCTACTTCACTGACAATTACATGGACTTTTCCTACTGGGTGAACATATCTGAGCATTTTCCTTTCTCCCCATAGACATCAGAGAAAGAACTGCTGGTACCACTGAAACCCATGTAAGAAGTTTCACCTATTTGTTGCCTTTAGCTCAGTAGGGACAGATCAGTGCATTGGCTGAAGAAAAAGAAGAAAAGGTGATAAATATGAACCTCTTCTTTTTGGAGGCACCTATTTCACATTTATCCAGAAGCCACATCAGCAGTTCTTAACACTACTTGAATGAGGTTGCATACATACATTATGCATTTTAAACTGCTATAAATAAAGGGAATGATACAAACCAAATGATTGTGTGTCTGGTTTCCCTCTCATAATGATCTTATTAGAACTGGCCAGATTTATGTTTGCATGGACGTCATGGCAATAAAGCGTTTCTTTGTACAATATGTGCCACTGCAACACAGCTGACATTACTTTCTGCCAGCGCGTGTCTAGAAGAGATCATGAGTGTGGGCTTTACATACGCATAACTGGACTGTCTTTTATTTTGCCCTTCTCTGATGAGATGGGCTATAATTGTGTAGCATTACTCACCTTCCCAGCAGCAAAAATTCTCCAGCAAGTCCCAGGCGCCTCATAGCCATTAAGAGCCCTCTCACAGTCATGCCTTCACAGAAACAGGCAACCACTCTTGCCTTGGGCAGGTGGCTCCGAAGCTTCCGCAGTAACTTGTCAAAGCTCTGCTCACCAGCATTGCTATAGATCTTGTAGGAATGTGCAATGCAGATCCCTTCCTTGGCTGCCATGTCTTTGAATGCTTCCATTCCACTTTCACCATAGTTTCCTACATGCAAACAGAAATGTTTATGAGTATTTTAAAATATGCAGTAGCTTTTATTTCTTTGGGAACAGCAAATATTTTAAAGAGTACACAATGTATCTGCACAGGGATCTGTGTATCCATCTTAAGAAAATAACAACTCTTCAATTTATTCATCCATTTTTCAAGCCAAAATCAACAAAATTTCCTAAGAAACCTGACTTTTATTTAGCAATCTTCTCTGTTGAAAACAAAAACTGTTAGTTATCTCAATAAATGTGAGTATCTGTTTAGAATATCTATAGCAAAGTATATATAAATTAGACATTGATTTCTGATTCTCTTAATTTGACTTAATGTGGTCAGTTGCTCTGGAGCTTACTTCAAAAGATCTAAAAACAAATGTTAAGGATATATTCTTAGGTGTAATTTTTTGGAATGTAAACAAAACAAAAAAATATCTAATAACAACACAACTTTGTTCATAATGAAATCTGAACAGCAACAACATTTGAATTACATTGGAAGTAAAAGTTTTCCTGCCATGAAAGAATTTATTCTGGTGACTCGGGAGAGTGAATGACAAAACATTTACAGAGACCACGAGATCACAGATGAACCAACTGTATGTCTGTATTTTTTTAATTAAACGCTAAGAAACTCAACAGGAAATTTTTGATATTTCCTTTCAAGCTATTCTTCTGTGGGATAAGCAGGTAATAAATATTTGTAGATAGATATGCCTATTCTTTATTCTATCTCACCATAGAAAGTTTCTTCTTTATCAGGCCTGTGGAAAAACCACAGTGCTTAAAAAGTAGGTTTAAATAAGTGATCCCAAGACTGTCTTCCTGGTTCCGTGTGCTCCTCCATCTGGCTTTCTAAATCTGCTTCTTGTCTAATTTAAATCAGAAGGAATGAGAGACAGAAACTCTGTCTTCTCCAAAGTACTATCAACTTCTGAGTACTATTCCACACAAACACAGTCAATATGTTAAAAAGACTGAATGAGCACGTTAGAGTAATGCCTTTGCAATGAACTGCTGATCTTTTGGTTCTGTTTGTGTGCAGATAGAAGACTCTGCGAGGAAAAATACTTTTCCAGCATAGAAAACAGCATATAAGACAATAGTGAAAATATATGCAAAGTAGTGAGAATCATAAAACAAGATTTGAACTCTCACTGTCTTCATCTGTTTTTGTGACTTTGGACATTGGATCACTCAACATGCCCATATAGGAAATTGCTTCTATTGGACTGGATGATCTTAGAGGCTTTTTCTGATCTTGGTGATTCTATGATTCAATTATTCTATTGCTTTTGGAATTCAGAGCCTGTATTAGTTTCCAGACTGTATATGAACACAAAAGACTCTATCTCAACTTCAAAGATCATCTGAATAACCAAAAGAGACAAAGAGTGGAAGAAAGGAAATACTGTAAAAACTTCATGTCACATCACAAATGAATCACTGAGATCTTGAGGCTGGCAACTCAAATGCAGCTCTCCCTATGTGATAAGCGCCAATTTTCATTTTCCTCCCAGCTGTGACAAGGTCTGATGGAAAATCCATTACTTTGCAAATTGTGTGTGGATTTTTAAACTCTCTTGTAGCAGTGCTTCTTGGGAGTTGTAAATCAGACGCTCAGTGCTTTCTCATGTGCCATGCTCATAGGGCAAAAATTTCCCGTGGTTTATCAGTATCAAGTGATTCCCATGAGATGCTGAAGGAGTTAGCTGGAGTTCAAAAACATGGAGTCTCATGAGAGACTTATTACAGCCTCCAAAGATAATCTAGAGGAAAAATAGGGGTCAGTCACGAAGAACTTCCACAGACCCTGAGGCCATCTAAAGTACAACTTGACAGTTTGACAGGAAATAGAGTTTATTTAGAGCTATTACTTTGCTTAAAGTTATTCCTATTTAGGTCAGTTTGGATCAAAATTAAATGTTTTCGCTTCCCCTAACAGAGAAAAGTTGTATCAAGTTTTGCTGCAGAGCATGGATGTTTGAGGAAAAAAACACAATTCATAATATATCTCAAAGAAATAGAAATTCTGAAAACTTCATTTTCTATCAAGAAATTGTCAATGAAAAATTCCTGACTTACAGAGCTTTATCTCTTCAGTATTCCAAACACTGAACTCTTTGAAAGTGTTACAAACATCCAAAACTGTTACCCCAAAGCTTGCTATAAAGCTAAGAACAGGCTTAATTATAGTAATGAAAAAGTAGTAGGTATTGCTACTACTATATACAACTATAAGCATAGAATCAATTGAGCAGGAAGGAATTAGATACTGAAAGGTCACTTTCACATCTCCCTGGAGCCTTCTCTTCTCCAGGCTAGACAACCTCAACAGTTCATAAAACACATTCTTTTCATGCCTTTTCCATTACACAAATGCTATCATCTCATCATTTATCAGAACAGGGAGGTTTTGTGAAACCATACAGAAAGCAGTGCCTCACCAAAAATGAGAGAAAACATGCAGAACTACAAAAGTGAGACTTTCTTAACATTTGGAACAAGAGCATCCCGGCACTCTGAATCTGCAAATGAGTGGGTTTTCCAACTGGGAAAACTATAGCTGCCTGAACTCAAGAGACATTTGATGGAAACAGAAAGCCATATTTTTTTCTTCAAGATAGTCATGCAAATACACCAGTGGAGATCTTGTCATGATCATTTCTGATTAAACACTACTTCTTTAATTATTCATAGTGAATTCCCCTGTTTTCTAGGGGTTTGATGAGTTATGTATGTTTAATTTGAGCAATACTTTGGGGACAACGAACACTTCTTGATGGATAAAGGAATAATTTTCTACTAAATTCCTTTGCCTTACACATTACACATTACAATTAATTTCTTCTGAGCGATCTTTCAGTGGAAAACTTGTACGTGTACAAAGGTGCACATATAGCACAGGGAGTGGAAAACTAGGGAAAGTATAGTGTATCATTTCCTCGAGGATGAGATGAGGTTCACACTGGGAGAGCATCTCCTTTTTGTGTGGAACTGGGTTTCTCATAGATATTTGATTCTTGGAATATAATTTTTTTTCCATAGTAGAAAATTGCCCACACTGGCACAGGAAGAACAAATTTTCACCACCAGGGTAGTTCCCTGTCTATAGCAAGTTCTAGGAGTCAAGGAGAAAAATTTCTGGGCTTGCACATATGGCTGGCCAATGCATGGATTTGTGCTGAGAAGAGCAATTTTTTAGTTTCACTTCTAAGTGAAAATTAATTCAGGAGCCCTATGCTGGAACTCACTTCTGTGAGTTCCCTGTGACAGAAGTTGCCTACAACCTGGCAATCTTGCCATGAAGCTATTCTGTTTATACTATAAACTCAATGAAAATTTGTAAGAAAAAAATTGAACAGAAGGGAAGGATTGATTTACTTCTATTTGTCTAATTCCAATTCATCAGAAAAAGCTTCCACAAACAACAAAAGCTAGAACTGACGTACGGTCAGTTTATACTCCTCCACCACCAAATTGCATCTCTATTTCAGTGTTGGGAAAGTGGCACCCATATGTTGTGAATGTTTCTGCTGGGGTAGCATAGCTTTTACTGGTGTCCATCTCATCTAGAAAGTTTGTGGCATAATCAGAGCTGCTAGATATTGGTGACTTTTTGGAAGATTTCGTTACTGTACTCATGGCAACAGTGCGCAATTGTGTTCTTATACCAGCCTGAATCCTGTATGTTGCATACCTGAATGTCTGGTCTTAATCCACGTTCAAAAATTGCTCTCACATGTTTCTACATGTTTTAAATAAACAAGCAATCAAAAAAAAATAAAATAAAAACCATTGATTACATCAGCATCAGCAATACTTATCCCTGCTTCCGAGTTGTAAATTTGTTGCAAACTGAGGCAAATCTCCCAATCCATAGTTTAACTATAGCAATCTGTTGGTTCAACTTCCCAGCAACTAGTAAGTTCCAGTTGCCCAGCAACTGAGCCAATTGAACCATCTGAACATAAAATGTTAAGATCTTAACTATGTTGCCCAGCAAAAAAAGCAAGGTTTTAAACCTAAAAATAATCTTTAAAAGTGTGCTGGGATTTCTTTATGGAATACAGAATGGCTTTTTTTCCTTGTTGGCTTATCTATAATAGTTTGCTGCATGTACATATTGTTATCAGATGATTTTGGGGTTTATAAGAGACATCAATTGAACCAGCCTTTATGGAAGATTTAGTATGTAAAATTGCTTCAAGACATGAAGTTCACAGTAAAAATTCAGAAAGTCAAAGAATAGCAGCCTCAAGAAATTGAAGGCATGCATTATACTATTCATTAGCTAGAAATAAGCCTATCAATCACAGAGAAATATTTCCAAAATTTTAATAGTGAAGAGTAAAGCACAGAATAATATTTTATTCTGGATCTGAACCACAGGAAAAAAAAAGAAGTTGTCAACTTAAAATTCTCAGTATATATTTTGCAATCAATATAGAGGAAAGAAGATATAAACTTTCAGGATGGTTTGTTGTTTTGTTTTGTTTTGTTTTGTTTTTTTCCTCTTATTGGCACCAACAAGATGAACTTTGTCAGAAATACCAAAAAAAATTGAAGTAGGTATAATTTTGAAAATACTTGTGGGAGTAATTGAAGATATTTATGAAAGACAACATGTTCACTGATTATCAAGATGATCTTCCTGAGAGGTAAGGAATGTGTAGTATTGTCTCCCAAATGGTGATGTTAGAAGTCTCTCTGACTGCTACATCTGAAATTAATCATGGCAAAACATAAGTAGTATCTACCCACTACCCCCTCTTAATGAAAATCTGTCCTATTATATGCAATTAGCTTTTACATACAAGAAGTTTTTTCCTTTCTTCCTTTGGCAGAAGGCTGGATGGGGCTTTGAGCAACCTGGTTTAGAGGGAGATGTCCCTGCCAACATCAGGACTGTTGGAACTAGATGATCTTAAGGTCCCTTCCAACTCAAACCATTCTATGATTCTGTAAGGTTGGTCTGTTGCACCCCATGAAGAACCA